CTTTCACCCGGGAAGATCACCAAGTAGGGGCGCACAATATAGCAGAAGCCCGATACCTTTCGCCCGGAGAGATCACCAAGAGGAAGCCTAAGTCCGAGCTTATTGACATATCCAGTTGGACCAACGTTTACTCAAAAGTTTAAATCAATGAGTTATGGACCAACTATGATATATTAACTGCTTTACACCACAATATTTTTCTAATGTGGGATTTTTTTAACACAACTCACACATGCATCCTAACAAAACACTTGTTGTTTTACTGTGAACTTGCCACTTCACATGATTAAATTACAGAGCATTTAGTATGCTTTTTCGGTCATCTGTAAGTGACCACTATAGATAAAGTTAAAAACTACTTTAACCTCTCGATGCTGATGAATTTTTCCTCTAAGCTAATGTGGAAAATTGCTTGGGAACGACTTAACCAGTTGCTTGTTCCCCTTTCAATCTTATTCAAAAAGTCTACATTATTTCAATAAACTTGATGGGCCAAATTATACATGGCTGCAGTCCCATATTGAAGCCCACTGTATCATAAAATCGACCATCAATTCAATTTCAACATCAACAAATAATTGGCAGATCCATGAATTAACACAAGTGATTCATATGTGTACTCATTTACTATTTTGGGAAGAAGGCATTCATGGAAAATCGAAAAGGAGTAAAAAAAAGGACTAAGCAAATTATATAAAATGCAGTTAGATAATTTTAGCACACAGCCCCCAACTTAATTCTTTTTTATGAAGTGTTTTCTCAGAGAAGTTTATTATAAACTATAATTAGTATGAATAATGTCGAACGAGGTGTCTGTTCTGAAGTGCATCAAATGGTGTGTGGCTAAAAAGAAAAATTTATGGAATAAGTGAAGAAAAAGAAGTGTCTGTTCGAGAAATGCAACAAATGACTTGTGGTAGAACTTTTTGTAAATATTAAGGGTATTTTGATCAATAAAGGTGGAGAAAATAAATTCTAAAAATATAAAAAGAATTGCAAAAATCGTTCAAGTTATCATTGGTCGTGCCATGTAGGACGGTTGATGTCTACACCAGCGATTTCCGGTCAAAATTAGCCAAAATGACTACATTGAGAAATCGTCAAATGATTTAGGACTAAATTGGCCAAATTAAAAAGTTTAGGACTAGATTGGCCATCGTGCAATAGATTTATGATTTTTTGAACAATTTCTCCATACTTTTTATTAGTAGTTTGCTATTTATTTATTATTACATTGCCTTGAGTGTTTGGATTAAAAAGGACATAAATCCAAATTCTGACCCAACAAGAAATGCGAAGCCTACAAAAATGATATTTCTGAATTTGTGATTTATTAAGACCATTTAACATTCACAGTAGACGCAAACATGCAAGCAATTTAATTGTCCTCGCATATTTTTGTTTCTACACAGGCACTCAATTGTTTTATATAAATAGTTTAGGAAAATTGTCCAAAAAGTTTCAAACCTATTGAACTTTTGTCAATTCAGTTCTAACATTTTAATTTTGTCAATAAAGTCATAAACATTTTCACGTTTTGCCAATTAAGTCCATTCGGCCAATTTTGGCAGAAAGTCGCTGATGTGGACACTAGCCGTCTTACGTGGTACCACGGACGCTGATATGGATAATTTTAAATAATATTTTTGAATTTATTTATTTATTTTTAATTTCTTTTTTGCTTTTCTCTCTCTTTCTTTTCTTTCTTTCTACCCTTCTTCCTCTGGCCGGTGAGGCCTTTGGCAAAACTTGCCCCCACTGGCCACTAGCGAGGGTAAGCCTAACCCAACCAAGGTGAGGATCGACCTCACCGTCCTCGTCCAGCTTAGGCAAGGCCAACCTTGCCATCGCTAGGCGAGGGAGAACCCAACGACGAGGTCGGCCTCTCTTGGGATGGAGAGGTATACCCTCACTAGTGGCCGGCAAGGGCAAGCTTCACTAGAGGCCGGTGAGTTAGGGCAAAAAGAAAAGAAAATGAAAAAAGGAAAAATAAAATAAAATGAATCGAAAAATATTAAAATATTTATTTAAAATTTTCCACATTAATTGCGACAGCACCATGTAGGACTACTGACATCCATGTCAGTGACTTCAAGCCAAGTGGACTCAATTGACAAAAAGTGAAAAGATTTATGATTCAATTAGCATAACTAAATAGTTTAAGACTGAATTGGCAAAAGTGCAATAGATTTAGGACTTTTTGGACAATTTTCCCCGATTTGATTTTCAAGATAGAAGAAAGCATATCGACACCTAAAATTAATTTTTGTTCGAATGAATGCTCGACAACAAATGTGAAGAAAATAGAATAACATGCCTTTATAATGGGGGAAATTATCAAAAAGTCATAAACATATTACACTTGTGTCAATTTAACCGTAAAACTTTTAATTTGATCAATTTAGTCATAAACATTTTGACAATTTGCCATTGTAATCTATCCAGCCAATTTTGGCCGGAAGTCGTTAACGTGGATACAGGCCGTCTTATGGGACGCAACCATTGCTAATGTGGACAATTTTTACAATTCTTAATAATTTTCTAAATTTTTTTCTTTTTTTTTGTTTTTCCCCTTTTCTTTTTTTTTTCTTTTTCTCTTATTTCCCTCCGCCGATCTACGGCCTCAACAGTTGCCGATGGAGGCCCCAGTCGCACCTAGGTGAGGGCCTGGGCAGGGTGGCGCAGCCACGCCTAGATCTGACAAGGGGTGTTATAACCCTTGCCCAAATCCGGTAAGGGCCATGACCCCCTCACCGAGGGCCAGCGAGGGCTATGATGCCCAAATCCGGTGAGGGCCAAGCAGTGGCCGGCGAGGGCTTTGGGGCTCTCGCCTAATGTAGGAGAGAGTCACCGGCCACATTTAAAAAATAAAAAGAAAAGTAAAGAAAAATAGAAGAAATATTTAAAATATTTAAAAATTACAAAATTGTCCGTGTTGGTATCAGCCGTACCACATAGCACATCAACGTCCATGTCCGCATCCGCGATTTCTGCCTAAAATGAGGCAGATGTATTACATTGACAAATTTTCAAAAGCTTTAGGGCTAAGTTAGTCAAAACTCTTTGAAAAAATAATTAGTCAAATTGAAAAGTTTAAGACTAAATTGACACGAGTGTAATAGGTTTATGATTTTTTTGGTAATTATCCAAGCCTATCTACAGTTAAAAGAATGTCCATTTAAAGGAGTCATTCCCAGTAATGTATCAAACAGATCTGTAAAAGAGAAGGAAGAAATTCAATAATATGCCTTAATTTACAAGGAGTAAATCTATCATTAGATGAATTGCCATTCAAAGGGCTCGTTTTTATGTATAAATACAATGCCTCCCTCCTTGATTTTCTCACCCTTGAATCTTTATTTCTCTTCCTCCCGACACCTCATCAAAATTTTCCAGAGCCCCGCTGGACTTGATTCATTTTTATTGAGGTCTCTCTCTCTCTCTCTCTCTCTCTCTCTCTCTCTCTCTCTCTCTCTCTCTCTCTCTCTCTCTCTCTCTCTCTCTCTCTCTCTAACATTAGGGCTATTTCTTTAGAATCGCATTTACTGAAACTCTAGAGAATGGACTTGCATATAAGTCGAAGCATACGTGTCAAATTTTTATTTAGCAGAGACATTTCGTAGACGACAGTTTCTTTCTAATCATAAAAAGAGGTTGTATAGTGATCCTCGAAATATTAATGATATGTAAAGTTATATCTATGTATATCCTTTCAATTACAACAACGCAATTACCAGGGCGCGCTCTACCATTGATATTGAGGGCCATGTTATATATATCGGGTGACAATATTGACTTTGATAAGATGTGCTGAGATTTAGTATATTTATCTTCTATTTCAATTTGTACCACCTTATAAAACCCTAACGCCAGATGCTGCAGTGGTTATCATCAGATTGATCATTCTCTAGCTACTTAGCTTTCGATTCGCTAAATCTGATCCTATTCTGTGCAGTTCCTTGTGGTTTACTGAATTTCATGCATAGATCTCAGCTTGCAAGCGGAAGATGGCGATCAAAGAATATGCTTGATATACATTGTTGCACTACTTTCAAAGGTTGGTTTGAGAATTTTCATATGATGGTGACTGCACGGCAGCTATGCGATACCCAATTAAGACTTTCCCATTGCAGGACACTCCTGATTTACATCAGCATCAGGAGAGGCTTATCAGGTTGCTGAGCAGCAACCTACTGTAGAGTAAGGAGAAGAGCCGGTGGCAATAGGCTAAGAGCCGAAGTATATCTGCAACAGTTGGCAATGGAAGGCTCAATTCTAGGAATAGAGAAGGATCTTGTGGCAAAGAGTATCACGGGGAAGCGCAAGTGATCCAATTGAGAGTAGATTAGAAGTGCTAAAAAATTTTAGACAGCTGAGACTAATAAAAAAGACAGCGCGTGTAAAAGAGAGTTGTAAAAATCAATGCGAATGGGCTGCATTAAGTCCACCCCTATATACCCTTTTCTCTCTCCCCGCGACTCGTGTGGGCTCCTCTGACCTCGTCCGCCACCCTTAGCCGCGGCGATTACTTGGATGAGTTTGAAGATTGGCAGCTTGATATGGAGATACGAGATCTGATGCAGTGCATGTGGCCACGGGTGGGGAATTTCAATGAACAACATTTGGGCACAGATGACGAAGTAAATTCTCGGTACAACAAGGATGATACCAGTATATTTATGGATATTAGAGATATTATTAGATATTAGAAATAGTATCTAATGCTTCCTTGCTTCCTAAGATTAGATTATTTCTCTTTTGTACATATTGTTGGGATATAAACACCCCTTAATTCTAATGTATTATAGAAAAAAGTTATTGAGCAGAGATGTAACCGCTAAAAATCATGCATAATTCTTGATTCACGAATTATTGCAAATTCCCTTTTTTTTCTTTTGTAAACATAGGACAACAGACAAATGCATGTCACAGCAACTCTCACTATGTCTAAACAATTAGGTGCACTGAAATGAATTGAAGAAGGCGCTGTTTGTAATTTTCTATTTCTTGTCACCATCTTTATTCTCCTCCTTTTTATTTTCCTTCTTTTCTGCTTTAGCTGGGCCAACCGATACTATGTCCACTTTTCCAATTTTCTTCAGCTTCTTTGCTACAGCCATGGAGTCCATGTCACCTATCACAGTCAGCTTTTGCTCCTTCAGATCCGCTGCTATGGAATCAACTCCTGAAAAATTGATTTCAAGGGAACAAAAGGAAGCCTAATTATTACTGAACTCAAAGCACAAAATTGATTTTGCACCAAATATTCATATGCATTGAGGCATTCTTCTTGCATGAACAACATGGATGATTTTTGGGTAAAGTATTGAAAAAGTCCTAAACCTTTTGCATTAGTGTCAATTTAGTCATAAACCTTTTGTCTTTGTACCAATTCAGTCATTCCGGCTAATTTTGGCCCGATTTTGGTGACGTAAATGCTGGCCGGCCTACGTGGCGCTGCCGGCACTGATGTGGACAATTTTTAATAATATTTTAATATTTTTTTGATTTTTAAAAAAAATTTCTGATTTTTTTCTTTTTTTCTTTTCCTTTTCTTCTACCTTTGGCCAGTGACCGGTCCAGTCACCGGCCATGGCCAATCGCCTGGCCTCGTCTGGGCGAGGCCGCCGTCGCCTACCACAGGAGAGGCCCGACCGACCCTCGCCTAGGCAAGACCGTCCCCGGCGAGGGGAGACCTCGCCCAGGCAAGGCTTGGCGAGGCAGGGCGACGCCGCCGTGGCCTAGGCGAGGCCATGGCCTGGGCTAGGGCCTGCCTCGCCGGGGCTCGCCCTTGCCCAGGCGAGGGTAAGCCTCGCCTGTGGCGGGAGACGGCGGCCTCGTCTGGGCCACGGCGGCCCCGCCCCGGTGAGGCCAGGCGGCCGACCGGCGTCCACGTCATCAAAATCCAGTCAAAATTAACTGGAATGACTGATTAGCACAAAGACAAAAAGTTTATGGCTAAATTGGCACCAAAAATAGGTTTAGAACTAAATTAACATCAACATAAAAGGTTTATAACTTTTTCAACACTTTTTTCGATGATTTTCCTTTGGGTAATTTACATGGTGAAGGAACTCTTGCTAGTACCATAAACATCTGCAACGGCTTCGATGGCTTTCTGCTTTGTCTTCTCATCGTTCATAGTAAAGAGCTTGACAACCACTTTCTATAAAAGAGAACGAATTCAGATACATTCAGGAAATCAATGCTTACAAACAGAAATGACTCGGTGTCGAGAATTGATTCTCTCTGGTTTTCATGACAGGAGAGACGCGAGATTATACCAGCACTGAATCGATAACGGACTCGTCTAGAGAAGGAAAAGTGCTAGAAGAAGAGAAAACACAAGAGCCGTCACTTACTTGCGCCATCGAAGGCTCGCAAGGCGAGGGTGCTGCGAAGGTCAAAGCAAGAGAGACGCAAAAGCGAGCCAAGGGTTTGTGCTGAGGGGGGGGCGGGGGGGATGGGGTGTGGGGGCCGGGGGGAAGAATAGGATTGCATGGCCTGTAAGCTTATAGGTGGAATATGATGTGAGAAGATGGTTGTTCATGGAAACATTCGATGGGCTGAATCTTGAGAGGAGGTCAACGTGCTGGCCTCACCGCTTTTGGAAGAAGCATAACTCATGCGCGTTCTTACAACGCTTCTATCGATTATCTCTCTTCTTGTTATATTTCCAAGCAAAAAAAACCCTATTGTCATAAATTCAATGTCGCCTTGTTACCCTCCTGGAATTGACGGGTTCGAGTCAATTCTGCCCAAATCAATCAGTTTAACATCGGAGCTTGTTGCTATGACTTAATTCGATTCTTTTGTTGCTCAATCTTTTATGCACGTAGGGCGTGAATGATTCCTCAGTTTTGGTTTTAATGGCAGGCATGTGAGGCGGCTTCCAACATTAGAGATTAATTAAAGGAGTGCGCTCTAAAAGAGATTGATCTTAGTTTTGGTTTTGTCAATGTGAAAATGCTGGGCGGTCAATCGCGAGACAGCGAGTACGATGGTGACATGACTCAGCAAGAACGTGCCACGGACGAAAATGTCGGGATGGGATTTGTTCCCATGTTGAGATGTTGCATAATAATCGATCTACGACTTGAAGAACTGGTCTGCGAATTTCTGCGAATTTTTGTCAATTCCATTTTCAGTTAACATAAAAGTCTTCTACATAAGTAGCTGGCCGTGTAACACGTATTAAGATTGGCCAAATGACAGAAAAAAAAAACAAAAAAGCATGTGTCGCCAGGCAAAACTAATCTCACTTTTTATGCGATCTAAAAAAAGGTGCAAACTTTTACTTGAGCGACAAAAATATCCACCATTACCTTTTCCTCACAAAAATCTTACGTCAGATAATGAAGGTGATGTGTACAATGGACAGGTCAGCTAAGCCAACAGGGCATGTGGATTTTTAAATAAAGGCAATGTAATTTGAGTGAGGTTGTGACTCATTCCTTCAAATAACAAAGAGACTCAAAAGAGTTTAACTCCAAATTGAGTTCACAAATTAAATGGCCAGGATTTTTCCCCAGACCAAATTCGCAAATTAGGATTTCAGATAATTGATTTGGAGCTAATTTGTGGAGTTCAAGCAAACAGTGAAATTCGATTAGTGTTTGGAATTTGCAAATTAGGGTGACAAGTCGTGAATTTTGCAATGACTTTAGCAAATAATCTATTATAATCCAAGTCGAACCGCGTTGTTTTCGCTTAGTTGACTTGTCACGTCATTGTCATTAGCCACGTCATATCGAAATAAATGTAGTTGGATTGGAAAGTCAATGATTGATGTTTTTGACCCCTCAAAAAAAAGTTCATAGGTATAAGTTTGTGGATATTTTCTTCTATCAGGCAAACTTCACGCTTTTTTTTTTTGGTCATTTAAAAATTAGAGTTATCTGTCCTAAGCTATAAGTTGGTGTTTTTCTTTGGGATTTGGCCTATAAAGATATTGTTACTATGCGATCAAAGGTTGCTACGACAAAGTTCATGTTACACTCCTTGGTGTATCTAAAATAGTTTTTGCTCTGCTTGCAAAATAATGCAATTTGTCAACGAACGAAGGCATTCTTGTTTTCCTCATGCTGTTTCCGAAAGCTTACTCAACTAATAATCTCAATTCTCGAATAATTTGATGTTTTATCAGCTACACCAAGTGAAGTAATTCATTCGTTCAACAGGGACTAGAGCCATTGGAAAGAGTTGACAAAAATCTCATTTTAGTTGAATGTTTCGTCTTCTTCTTCTTTTTAAATTTTTTGTAATAATATATGTGCATTTCCTTATCTAAACAAAATCACGAACTCTTTTCTTTCCTCATGAAACATTTTTTTCACCGCCTTTTGCAGACAGGTGATGAGTACAAAAATTGATTGGACAAATTTTCTACTGAGGCCCAGTTTCAAAGCCAAGCCCAATTTCTAAGTATGACATATCTTGTGAATATTGTATGGCCCTAAAGGGCCCAAATAGTGCAAGACCCAGGGTGGATGGCCCACACTTGGAGAGTAAGCCACTCACTTCTACTAAAAAAACAAGGTAACAAGCCATTGTAGTAAAATCTGGGATATCCATCAAATTTGACTCAGTTTGCAATGTCGTCCCCGAATTTTAGTTTATTCAATATGATCTCCGGACTTTAGCTTAATACTCTAATCGTCACTGAACTTTTAATTTGTTCAAACCCTATTCAATCTAGTCCCTAGACTATATGAAAATATCCAATATTTATCCTTCAAATAATTCAAGTTCAAAGACAATATTGAAAATTTTCATATAATCTGATGACTAAATTGAACAGGTATCAAAAGTTCAAGACCACGTCAAACAAATTAAAAGTTCAGGGACAACATTATCCATTGAGCCAAAGTTGAGAGATCATTTGTGTCATTTTTCCTAAAATCCTCCACTTTCGTGTGGGCAACAGATACTTTATTGTTTCCTCTACTTAATAAATATAGGGTTTAATCGTGATTTTTCATATTGGATCCCAAAATATCGCATGTCTCATCATTCAACATTCTAGACTTATTTACAAAGTCATCCCTTTTTTCCCAAATTATCCCTATAATTTTTCTAATTTGCTCCACATTCCAAGAAAAAAAAACATCTTAATTAGAAAGATCCTAACACCTTAACCTACCTTTAGTCGCCACTGTCCTGTCCCGCTATCACAGCCACAGCCCCCGCAAGCGACACCTCTGTCGGGAGAGGTAGAGCTCGATAGTGCATTGAGCTCCATCACAGGTAGCTATGAGACTAACACGGCAGAGGTGACGACAAAATGCGGTGGCCAGAGGTGGTGGGGCAGCAATAGTCCTAAAATAAGTAGAGTTTTCTTGATAATTTCCTGACCGAGTGTGCGACCCATTGGACAGGCCTTGATGTTGTGGACTGTACAGTTGACATGGAATCCAGCCAAGGAAAGGGCCGCTCCTTCGCCAATCATGCTTCTCAGTGGGACCAAGAATAGACGAACCCCACCATTTTTTTGTTCATTCTGAATGTCTAGTGGGGGAATCATGCGGGTAGAGTTTCTCTTGTACTGTTGGCCATGTGCTTGACTTCTCAGTCCTTGAAAACCAGACTCTCTCTTCCACCGACGATTGATAAATCAAAGAAGAGAAAAGTATAGCATGCGAGTCATCAATGAAAGAGACAATCAATGAGGACTAGGAAGATGCAATTCTACGCTTTCTCCAACTTGCCACTCAGAAGCACACAGCTCTCTCCCATCCCAATGAAGAATTAAGCCAACTATTCCAAAGCAAAACACTGGCTTCAGCAAGAAACTGAGCTCTCTGTACATGCTCCCTCTCTCTCTCTCTCTCATCCAGGAGTCAGTGAATCACAAAATCCTCAAGAAATCAAACACACACCATGCAAAGATTATCGAGCACCGTGTTCCGGAGCGCGGGCCGCTTCGCCGGAACGACGACGATATGGCGTCCTCCGCTCAAGAAAGGGCCCTCTGTGGTTCCGTCTTTGTTGCTCTTCTTGCTGGTCCTTGCTGCTCTTGCTTTCACCTCCACTTTGAACATCCATACGGTAAGTTCTCGTTCTTTTGGTGTTTCTAGTTGCCTAGCTACTTCATATAACTCCATCTTAAACTTTACGGTATCTTTTGCGCTACAGCTTTTCACTTTCTTTTCAAGTTGATTTTAAATCAAGTTTCTGGTTCTAGGCTTTCATGGTTAATTTCAAAATGCTTTTGGCAATCAAGCGGATTAGTATATCTATATTAATTGTACATAATGTAAATATTGTAATTTCAAACTCCATACATATGTCTGTTTTTGCTGGACGATTGTCTAATAAAATTTTTCTTAGTTTCAGTCTACAATCTCTGCGGGTAATCCAAGTAATCAAAGTATAGTCGTCTCCGATGAGAACCAGCTTAATCTCCAACCGAAGAAGCTCGAATTCCCATTGAATTGCAGCTCCGGAAACCAGACCCAAACCTGCCCAACAAACTATCCGACGTCGCTTTCGCCGCGAGACCCATCGACCGAACTCGATTGCCCGGATTATTTCCGGTGGATCGACGAAGATCTGCGTCCGTGGAAGGCTTCAGGAATCACGAGGGACATGGTGGAGAGGGCCAAACCCACCGCCCATTTTCGCCTAGTGATCATTAAAGGCAAAGCTTATGTGGAAAAGTACAGGAAGTCAATACAGACTAGGGATATGTTCACCATATGGGGTATTTTGCAATTGCTGAGGAGGTATCCCGGTCCAATACCCGATTTGGAGCTTATGTTCGATTGTGACGACCGGCCGGTGATCCGGTCAAGGGACTACCGGGGGAAGAACAGGACGAGCCCGCCGCCGTTGTTTCGGTATTGCGGGGATCGATGGACAACGGATATAGTCTTTCCAGATTGGTCCTTCTGGGGCTGGTATGTAATTCCTTATCATTTCTCGTTATTTTTTATTTGTCTTTTGATTCAATCTTTAGTAGGAAATCGAACATCGGAGAACTGCTTGCGCGGATTCGGTCAGTGTTCTGAAGACAATCAATGTGGAATTAGTATCAATAATGACAGTAGTTTTCTAGTTGTGGTTGTTAATTTAGCCCTCGAGTAGACATGTTTAAGAAAGTACTTTCGATTAGGCTAAAAGGAAGTTATCTTCAAAGAATATGGGAGAGAATAATTTGAGATGCGAAATGAATTTCATTGGGCATTCCGGTCCCTCATGACTAGTGACATGTGACCTACCAATTGAGGTCATTTCATGAATTTTCCTTTTCCATGGCCTCTTTTGCTTTGTCGGCTCAAGAGGATAGAAATCCTGTATCTAGCGTATTACTAGTTATAGTTACTGGATCAATGGTATTTTGATAGATATAGTTCTACAGATTTCGATCGAAGAAATCGAATATGACCATATAGTACTTGTTGTGGTTGTGAGGCATGTCTTTTCGTAACGCGAAGAAAGCTGTTGAAATATTAAAATATGATGGCATAACTTGTCTAGCCGATATTCGAGATACTTTAAATATTTGATTATGATTCTGCGACCTAGGCTTGAGATATCCCGAAGCATGATGAGCCTTATATGGTCACGCCTAATGAGGGTAGCTATGTCGGTCGCCTCCTCTTCACTTTTTCCTATTAAAAAAAAGAAAATGTTTGATTAGCATCAAGAAAATTGAAATCTCTGATCTAATTACCACGATCTAATTTCCTAAAAAAACCCCACACTTTAGGATTAGTCCTAATTCTGCCCCGAACTTCATTCTGTCTAAAAAACAATTCCAAACTTTAGGACTTTTCTTTGTCTAAAAAAAACCCCAAACTTTAGGTTTAGTCCCAAATCTACCCCCAACTTTTTTTGTCTAAAAGAAAAATCACAAATTCTTACTCTAGTCCCAAATCTGCCCCCACTAGCCCTTTGTCTAAAAATCGCAGCTAGTCATCTCTAATTTTCATATCCTATAACGGTTTCATTTTTGGAGATAATTTTCCATATCACCTTGCTTATGTGAATTTGTTATCGATGTAAAAATGCCACATCAAGTTGGGACTGGACCACGATGGTAAATTGGAGAATAGATTGAAAGTTGGTGATTTTTTTAGACAGAACAAAATTCAGGGCAAATTTGAGACTAGACCTAAAGTTTGGAGGTTTTTCTAGGACAAAAAAATTTGGGGGCAGATTTGGGACTGGACTTAAAGTTTGGGGTTTTTTTTAACGGGATAAGTGTACTAAAAATCTTAAAACTTGTCACAAAAGTGCAATGGAATCCTTAAACTTTCCAAAAGTGCAATCAAGTCCTAAAACTTGTCATGAAAGGTCAATTGAGTCATAAAACTTTCAAAAAGTGCAATCAAGTCCTAAAACTTGTCATGTAAGTGCAATCGATTCCAAATTTTTTCAAAAAGTGCAATCAATGGAAGGAATTGATTGGATCAATTTAACAAATTTTAAGACTTGATTGCACTTTTTGAAAGTTTTAAGACTCAATTATACTTTCGCAACAAGTTTTAGGACTGAATTACACCTTTTAAAAATTTTAGGACTCAATTGCACTTTCGTGACAAGTTTTAGAACTTCCAATGCACTTATCCCTTTTCTGAACAAAAAAGTTCGAGACATAATTGGGACTAGATCTAAAGTTTAGGGTTTTATAGGAAATTAGGCCTAATTACTACCGATTAATCGTGCATATTATACGTAAATATATATCTGAACTGAGATTTTCATATTCCTTGGAATTTATGAAGGGCTGAGATTAACATAAAGCCGTGGGAGAGGTTGCAGATGGAGCTGAAACAAGGGAATGAGAGGAAGAAATGGATAGAAAGAGATCCGCACGCATATTGGAAAGGAAACCCCTTTGTGGCTGAAGCCAGAAGAGACCTCCTCAAGTGCAATGTTTCTGAGACCCAAGATTGGAATGCTCGCTTGTTCATCCAGGTAAATATACTATGAAACAAGCCTTTCATATAGAGCAAAAACCTAAACAATGAATAATAGAGTGGAGACCCAAGATTGGAATAACAGTTCCTTTCCATGTGTGAAGTCAGATTACAAATGTAGGAAGTTGATACAATTACTGCAACTAAGAATGAAATTGGAACTTCTCAGGTTTCGATTTTCAAGCCCATAGAATCCACTCTATCCGTATTCGACTATAATCACAAACAGCTTTAGCGTATATCGTTAGCTTGTTTCACCACCCAAATATAACTGCTCGGTCACTTTGAGTTTGTAAACTTAGGAACTTCATGCATGAATGTACGATGATTTTGCAGGATTGGATCCTTGAATCACAACAAGGATTCAAGAACTCAGACCTAGCAAGCCAGTGCACACACAGGTGATGATTAAGCTCTCATCATCACCAACCATGTCATTTCCATAAGCGAAAACGGCTTCACTTGGTACGTTAGAAATCTGACCTTGTGAATGAACATGTTGTGGCTAGATTCAAGATCTACATAGAAGGGTATGCATGGTCGGTCAGTGAGAAATACATTCTGGCATGTGATTCCACAACTCTGCTGGTGAAGCCACAGTTCTACGACTTCTTCACCAGGAGCCTAAATCCCTTGCAGCACTACTGGCCCATCAGGGCTGAGGACAAGTGCCGATCCCTCAAATTCGCCGTGGACTGGGGCAATAGCCACAAGGGAAAGGTAAAATATTTTCTCTAGCAGGTACAACCGAATTCCGTGATAAGCTAGTTTGGCCTGACGATCCTCGATGGACTTGCATAGGCACAAGCGATAGGGAAGGCTTCAAGTGACTTCATCCAAGAGCAAGTGAAGATGAGCAATGTGTACGACTACATGTTTCATTTGATGAATGAATACGCCAAGCTTCTCAGGTTTGAGCCAGAGGTCCCAGAAGGAGCAGTGGAGGTCTGCTCTGAGCTCATGGCTTGCCCTGCAGGTGGGGTGGAGAGGGAGTTCATGGTGGACTCATTGACCATGAGCCCATCTGCTACAGGCCCATGCACCGTGCCCCCACCATACGAGCCCAAATTGGTCGACGCCATGTGGAGGAGAAGTGCCAGTGCAATTAGGAGGGTGGAGAGATGGGAAGATGAGTTTTGGCTAAAGTCTCACAACAAATCAGCTTAGTTGTGTACATGTGCATCATTGGATACTTGTCTTGTAAACAGAGCAAGAGCCTTACTTTGTAAATCAACTATCTTTTTGGCATCACTTCACCAGCTAAGAAGAGAATTTGACTCGATGACTATATGCACTTGAAACCGATAGCTTGGGAGCAATGACCAGTCCAATCCATTCTATCTCCTGGTGCAACCTTTTAATTGATTTGTACTATCATTATCAATATTTCATGTATAGTTTTTAGTGGCGGGTTATTCCCATCCCAAATGGGGCCAAAAACACTCATTTTAGCGCGCAGTGATCAAATCACCCTCCAAATTATTCTATCTCCCCTCTTCAACACACTAGCAGTCTTTTCCATTGTCTCTTGCTTCGTTATCTTAATTTCTTTGCAACTCCTCTTTCTTTCTTATTTGGTTGACTGCCTCTCGGCTCCACACCTGAAACAACTTGGCACTCACATCTCTTACTTAACCAGAAAGGTCACACAACAATTTGGAGGAGACAACTGTTGCTCACATTCCTTTAAATCAATCAAAGCCTACACCAGAAAGATGAAGATGGAAAGTGGGATAGAGATCAATGACAATCCAAATACGACGTTATTCGACATGAATCTTACTGTTGCTAGTGAACTCCCTGTGCCACCTCTCTCTCTCTCTCTCTCTCTCTCTCTCTCTCTCTCTCTCTCTCTCTCTCTCTCTCTCTCTCTCTCTCTCTCTCTCTCTCTCTCTCTCTCTCTCTCTCTCTCTCTCTCTCTCTCTCTCTCTCTCTATGTGTGAGAATTGAGCTCCACGTCGGCCACGGGGGAGACACATTGTAATTGCTTTTATAGTAGTTACGACCACCATAAAAGCCCTTCTTTTTGTAACAGTTTTGCAACAGCCGTATAACGTCTTTCTAACGGTTTTATAATGGTTTTATAACGTTGATTTATTTCTTCTTCATTATTTTATAACAGCGATATTTTTTTATTATTTATTTTTTTGGTCGAAATAACGGCTATATTAACAGTCATATTCTTCAATTATTACCAATTGATTTATAATAGTTCCATAACGATTCTCTCTTTTGTTTTTGCCTACAAAATTTAACATCAAACCTTAATCCAAGATGATGCACCAAGTTAAAAGAGAATTTCCTTTCACTCTCATTCCATTTTTTGTATTTCTTTGCTAGATTATTCACATAATGTTGTTCCTATTATTTCTAATATTCAATGCGGAGTATAGAAGAATGTCTTTTGTATCTTAGGAGGATAGCCGCTAAAACTTTACATACCAAATTTCGTACTTCGAGGAGTGGAATTATTCTTAAGGATAGTTTTTGTATGACTCAGATATCTTATCCTATTTTTCATCTTTTTTAGGGGATTTCCATCATTTTCGTGTTTTTGATATTATCTAATGCTTTTCCAACATTAACGAGTCATCAACGACAAAAGGACAACTGAGTTGAGATATGACGGGCCAAGGGAAGCGGAGAGACAGATCCAGGGATATGACCTAGCAAACAATGAAGGGAGAGAGAGAGAGACAGGACTGCTAAGTGATGATAGCAACGAAGGTGGGTGGTGGCGCCGGTGCGGTGAGGTGATGTAATTGTTAGCAGGGTAGCAAATTTGTGCGCATGACCAAAGGTGCTCAAGAGATAGACATGTCAGTGCAAAGTCGAAGCACGTTGGAGGAAGAAGAGAGAAGGGATTGAAGGGTACTTCGCAATAGAAGGAAGTGTCTTTAGTTATTTCGGGAGTGGAAATAATCCACCCAAACTTTATATAGATCTTGTTAGCCAATGTGCCGGGAACTATATTAACCGCACTTGATACAGAAATATCTTTAATTCAAATGAACTAATTACCCATAATAGAAATTTTCCTTCATTTCATAAAACGTTTTGCCCTTTTCAACATAAATTTCTGTGTCCGCTGCTGCTGGTTGCAGCATATATTTATATACCATGTTCGTTTATTATTTCTTAAGGGTAGATAAATTATGTCAGGAGCTCAATTTTGACTGGTGGAGAAGCTCTCCCGACGTACTTCTCTTTTCCTGAACTCGAACATCGGAAAACAACGCCAAGGACAACCGCTCATTAATCAAATTTTCTACCCAGCTTGGTAGCCGTTACTCTTTAGCATTTATGGCATTGATTATCGTACTTTTTTTTTTTAATTTAGACACCATTTGTTACGCGAAATGACAGCACACATCGGTACAAATAATTTTTGCCATTTCTATTGCACGATGAATCCAACCTCTGTTCCGTTGTCAAATGTTTTGGATATTCATTTTTGCTTCCTTGCTTTTTGGTTACCAATTGTTAGGGTACTTTCACTAAAGAGAAATGCTTCAAATGCATAAAAAAAAAAGAGATAGATATTACTATGTATAGTAAATAAATTTCAATCTTGAACATGTCACAATCCTCCACGGTGTTTGTCAAAATCAAGGTTCTCATAATTGGGTTGTTGTTTGGCATGACCAAATCAGACATGATTCTCAATGTCAAAATCCTCATCTCGATACTACTTTGTTTTCATGTGTCTTAAAACAGAGACTTTCGATTAAGACGGCCATGCATATTGCTAATTGCATGTCATTTAAGAAACTAAGTCTTAGTTGAAGTACATTGTAATCTAGATAGTAAGCCACAAGTATAGGGTTTAAAGCTTTTAATGTGAACGTCCTCTTCATCGATCAAAAAGGAAAATATTAAGTTCCATGTTCATTTAGCGGTTAAAGTTTTCGGAGAACTCGATAATGGTCTAACAAAATTTATATGGTATGAGAGCTAGAGATTCAATGTGTTCCAGCCTTGTCATATCTCTCGTTTAGTAGAAAAATTATCCAAAAAGTCATAAATATATTGTATAACGCCAAATTTAGTTCCAAACCTTTTAACGATATGTTAATATAGTTATTCCAGCCAATTTTAGCTAGAAATCGCTGAAGTGAATGTTAGCTATCTTACGTGGCACGGCTGATACTGACATAAACGATTTTTTCTGTTTTTATAAAATTTTCTGAATTGTTTTTATTCCTTTTTGTTTTCTTTTCTTTCTTTTTTTATGTTTTTCCTATTTATCTCCTCCGATCTCTGAGCATCGGCTATCGCAAGGGTCACCCTTGCGAATTTGGCAAGAGCATCTCTTGCCATATTCAGGCAACCTCCATTGGCCATTGCGAAGGCCTAGTAACCAGCGAAGGGAAATAGAGAAAAAAAAAAGAGAAAAAAAGAAAAGGAAAAAAATATTGTAAAAAAATCGTCTACGTCAGCGTCAAATGTGCTACATAGAAGGATCAGCGCTGACTATACCACCACGTTAGTTAGTTCCAACCAAATTAGTTAGAATGACTAAATTAGCAAGTCATCAAAATATTTAAAACTAAATTAGCAAAATTGAAAAGTTTGAAATGGAATTGACCGACGTACAATAAGTTAATAACTTTTTACACAATTATCCCCTCGCTTAGCTCTTACCTATAATTCATTTCTACGCATTGGTCTTACGCACGAGAGGAGTATAAGAGCTTTCATATATCAAATCACGTTACCATCTATAACTACTACACCGCATGCTGCCACCATGCCACCGGTATGTTTGTCTTTCAATTGTAGGTAGGATGAGGTTAGAGGCTTACAAGGTATGTACACCTAATCAATGAAATGGGTAGTTCGACCCCCAAAAAAAAAAATGAAATGGGTAGTATCATTAGAAACGAAGGGAAGGCTCCATAGAAACCAAATCGGTGTGAATTAGGGTTTGAGAGAGTTATTCTATCAACCAAGGCTCCATATCTTTTTTGACATTAATGAAGTCACCTTCCTCTTTCCTTAGGCACATTATTGTCAAAATTATTTTGCCCTCTTAGATTGGTCCAATGCCTATTACACAATTATTTTCCTTAGGCATATAGAGTGTCTGGCTCAGAGGCCTAGTCTCTAGAATAGTTTTTAGTTAATTTGCAAGAACAGTTTAAAAAAAAAAAAGGAGAACGAATTGCGCCCTTCCCTTATTAAATGAAATATAGATTTTATGCACCTCTTTAGTTCTACTATCAAAATTTTGGTCAAGCTCATAAATTTTTAAAATGTTTTATGAACTCGATAGAGGTTTTTAGAGAGCGGTCTATGTTGATTAGACTTGCCATTTTACATACTTCGAGAATAAATAGCCACTAGTAAGGGAACATAGATGAGATACCTAAATTGATTGGGAAAATGACTTAATTAGTCCTAAACCTATTATATGGATGGCAATTTAATATTTTTAAATTTTGTCAATTTAGTCCTAAACCTTTGTGTGAAATTCCGATGTAATTATCCTAGCTGTTATATGGATGGCTGTTACCGGCCATCCTACCTAGTACACCACCACATCAACAATTTTCGGCTAAAATTGGTTGGGAGGACGACATTAAAATATTGCGAAAAGGTATAGGACTGTATTGTCAAAAATGGAAAGTTCATGACTAGATCAATATTTGTACTATAAGTTAAGGACTGATTGGACAATTTCTCCTATTTATATAAAAAAAAAAGTACTCCTATCCACCTGTGCTCTATCATGTTTTATAAGGTTTACTCTATGGTTTCCTCCCCATTGCAATTTTCACTTTAAAAAAGTTACTATCTTGATAATAGATGCACCCTAATTAAAAAGACATTGATTATGCTTGGAATAATAGCATAAATGGTCATTGAGGTTTCATCCAATGTGTATTATCGTCCCTAAACTTTTAATTTGTACAATGTAGCTTATGAACTTTGACCCAACATGCAATGTAATCCCCACACTTTTAATTTATTCAATATGGTCTTTGAAGTATCTGTAAATGTTTAGTGTAGTTCCTATATTATATGAAAATATTTAAAAATCCATGGATCATATTTCAGAGACCACATCAAACAAATTAAACGTTTGGAGATCATATTGTACATTTGGCCAAACTTCAGGGACTATTTGTGTCATTTTCTTTGTTATGCTTCAATTACAAAATTATGGATGTGAAATTATAGATTTTATGGAAATATCGAAGGAAAAACATATGGCGCGAGAATAAAAG